AAAGAGCAAAAGCAGGGAGGAGCCGGGGAACAAGCCAACTAGCCAGCCTTTCTGGTAAGCTGTGCAAGCGTGTGTGGCCCAGAGAGAGAAAAGTCAGAAAGTACTTCTGGAGAATCAGCCATGCTGGGATTGGGAAGAGAACACCAAGAAGCCAACTAGCAAGCCTTTCTGATGAGCCACACAAGCCATGTGGGGCCGAGGAAGAGAAGAGTTCCATAGCACTTCCTGTGAGCCTCTCAGCACTTTGGGCTGAGAGTCACCAATTTCTCTCCACCCCCTGTGAGCCACCAGCTGATTTGCAGGACTGGCTGATATCAACTGAAAGCTTGTATTGTTTGGTTAACTTTACAGGCCTGGGACCAGCAGTTTGAGCATCTATTAGGAGGATGATAGTATGCAATACAGCAAATATGGGGGATTTCCTTCTGTCTATCTTTGAAGCTCAATACTGTTTTCACTGTTTTGTTTTGTTCTGATTAATTGTTTTGCTTTATTCAATATTCTGTTTGATTGGTTTTATTCTGTTTGGTTTTGGTTTGATTTTGCTGTATCTGATGGAATGGACAACTACTGTGAAGATAACAAGCTATACAATGGTAGCCATTGTTGTTTTTCTATTCTCTTGCTCTGAAGTTCTGTACCAATTTCATTGCTTCATTTTGATTGGATTTATTCTGCTTTGTTTTGTTGGGCTTTATTATGTTTAAAATAAAAAATACAGAGGTTATAACAATGTACTCAATGTTTATGGAACAAGGACCATACATATTCTTTACCTAGTTATAGAGAGGCAAAAAAAGATAATACAGGTATTTGGAAGTAGGAAGACAGATCCTTACAAATGCAAAGGGAACAAAAAGATGGTGATGGGTGAGGGGAGGGCAGGAAATGAAAGTGGATAAAAAAGGAACTGAGATGTGTTATGTACATGGACCAACTACCCATAAGGAATTTAATTATTATGCAATACAAATGTGTACTAATAAAAAATAAAAACTGGAAAGAATGTTCACATTTGTTACTGTTGCTGAAGTTTTATATGTCAGCTCTCAGTATCATACTTCAGGTAGATATTCCAAAGGTTAAATAAAAGAATTCATGTCAATTCCTTAATGTGATATATAACAGAGACAAGTAATAAATGTTAGATGTCACAGGTTGTTACTATGAAAAATAAATATTCAATGTTGACTATTTTTAAAGTAACATGTTATAATTTTGCTTAAAGTGAAAATAATGTATTTTTAAGTACATGATACACTTGCAATCCCATGACATATAGTCAAAACTTCTCTAAAGGAATCATTTCTTTCAGAACACTTCTTAGTCATAGTACCTTGTTAAATTTAACAACTACCAAACTCTGCCACATAGAAATCTTTTTTTGGATCGGAGATCGAACTCAGGACTGTGAGCCTGCAAGGCAGGCGCTTACACTGCTGAGCTAAATCTCCAGCCCTGTCAGATAGAAATTTAATTAAAACATGTCATAGTTCCAGTTAAAATGAAAATATAAAAATGGAAAAGCTCAACAATCTAAGTATTTTGACCTATTTCAATATTAGCTTTACAGAATAAATCATTCTATAAACAAATTATACACATAAAAATTTATGAAGAACATTTTAATTTATAAACAATCAGTTTTCATCTTTGTTGTACTATGATACAATGAATATGCTAATTTGAAATGAAAACCCTTCCTAAGTAAGTCAGAATGGAAAATGTGGAACAAAAGTTTTAAAAGGACATCTTACTGTCCAGCATGGTGGTGCATACCGGTAATCCTAGCTCTTGGAAGGTTGAGGTAGCACTTGGATGGCTGTGAGTTCCAGCTTAGGGTACACAGTGAGGTGAAGAAGAGCTTGAACTACATAGCAATAGTCTATCTCAAAAAATTAAAAAAACATTTAAAAAACCAGAAAAACAGTACTTCTGTAATCACCTAGGTTATTATTAAGACAAATTTAGATTATCCATTTAATATTTTTAAAAAAATAATCATATTTTAATGAAATAGTCACATCTTCAAAAACAGATTCCAAAACCAGAGAAGAAAACCAAAGAAGAAAACTACAGGCCAAGCTCCCCAATGAATAGAGGCACAAAAATACTAGCAAAATGAATGCAGCAAATCTTCAAGAAGAATATACGCTATGATGAAATAGGATTCATTCCAGGCAGAGATGGTTCCTCATACATAAACTAATAAATATAATACACCATATTAAAAGAATTAAAGACCAAAACTACATGATCATCTCAGTAGATGAAGAAAAAGCATTTGAAAAAGTTTAACTTTCATTTATGATAAAAAAAACTACAGAAAATTGGAATAAGGGTTCTTTATCTTAACCTGATAAAAGCCATCTATGAAAAATCAATAGCTAACATTATACTAAATGGTCAAAAACTGACAGCTTGCATTCTAAAATCAGGAACAAGACAAGTATGTCCAATATCACTTTTACTATTAAACACTGTTCTGGAAACATTAACCAGATTACTTAGACAAGAAAAAGAAATAAAAGGGATCAGAAAGGAGGTAGTTATCATTATTTGCAGATGACTTGATACTCTATATATAAGATTCCAAAAACTCCACCAAAATACTTGCAGATTTAATAATCAAATTCAGTAGTGTAGCTGGATACAAAGTCAACACTCAAAGATCAGTATCATTCCTGTACACAAGCAACGAACTCACAGAGAGTGAAATTGGGGAAACTATACTGCAATAGCATATAAAAAATGCTTCACAACAGCATCCAAAAAATGTTTGGATACTTTGGAATCAACCTAACAAAGGAAGCAAAAGATCTCTACATTGAAACTTAAAGTATCCTGAAAAAGAAGTTTGAAGAAGATACCAGAAAATGGAAAGATATTCTTTGTTCATAGATGGGAACAACCAATATAAGTGAAAATGGCCATACTCTCAAATCTGTTAGACGGATTTAATTCAACCCCAATCAAAATGCTATTATCATACCTTACAAACTAGAGAAAACAATCCTAAAATTTTTTGAACAAGAAGAGACATACAATAGCAAAAAAGTAATTCTGGGCAACAAAGGGAAGTCAGGGCACAATACATCTAGAACATACAAAAGAATTAAAAACAATATCAGGTGCTCAAAATTCAAAGACCCAATCCCCAAATGGCCATCTGACACGAATACATTCTTCTCAGATAAAGAAACATAAATGGCAAATAAATATATGAAAAAAATTTCAACATTATTTGGTCATTCAATAGATGCAAATTAAAACAACATTGAGATTCCACTCGTTGATGACCTTGTACTCTGTTCTACATCATGTGCTATGTCTATCCTTGGTTTTGACTTACAGCTTTGTTTTGCCATATTTGACTTTATTCTCTCCCCCCCAAAAAAAGTAATAAGAACTAAGGAGTAATAAAATCCAAAATGTGTAAATTTTGTTATAAAAAAGAGAGGGAGGGAAAAAAAAGAGCTCTAACGGATATAACAGCAAGTGTGTTTAGGGATGTTAAATAGCTGACTATATTAATGTTTTTGGATCATTGAACACAGCTGTTTGCAGTCTCTCCGTTTGAATGTCTACTTTGTATTCTTTGATACTGTGATTTGAGCAACTATTTCCAAGATGATACTATGTAATCTATTAACAGGTGATTTCTTACTGTTTTTTTTTTTTTTTGTAGTTCTGTATTATGTGTAAACTTACACTGCTTTGTTTTGTTTTGTGTTTTTCTCTTTTTCCTCTTAAATAAAAAAAATTAGAAAAAAAAAAAAAGAAAGAATGGTTATCATTAAGAAATTAACTAATAACGAATGCTGGCAGGGGTATGTGGAAAAAGGAGCCCTTCTTCACTGCTGGGAGTGTAGACTTGTATAACCACTGTGGAAATCAGTGTAGATAGTGCTTTAAAAATTAGGATTAAAGAATTCCATTCAACTCAGCTTTTCATCTTCTGGGTATCTTCCCAGAAAAATTAAAAACATCATACCACAGCAATAAATGTGCATCCATGTTTATAGGAGTACAATTTATAATAGCTGAATTTGGACACAACACAAATGGCCATCAACCACAGAATGGATAAAGAAAATGTGATTGGGCCAGGGATATATAGTTCAGTGGTATAAGTGCCTACCTGGTAAGCAAAATATCCTGAACTCATTCCTGGTATCAAAACAAACAAAAAGATGTGTCTGTTTGTTTGTTTTGAGGACTACTGTGTCTAAAGGAAAGATAAATTTGAGATTTTTATAGGTAAATGAATGCAATTCAAAACCATACTCATAAGTGAAAGAAATCAGACCCACATATATAAATATCATTTTATCAGTGAGAAACTGAAAAAGTAAATGAAGTCCAAAATGTACAACAGATACTGAGAACAGGGAAGAAACCATTCAAAAGTAAATAAAAACTGTGATGGGGAAAAGGGAGGAAAGGAGGTAGGGAAAAGAAAACACACACACACACACACACACACACACACACACACACACGATGGTTAAAATAGTTATACACTTAGTTTCTACTAATTCATTGAAAAGAAAGTTTTGTGATAATACTTTTTTGGACAATGTTTCATGTCTGTATCTTACACTCTGAGTAACTACTATGAATATAACAATACACCATGTATTAATTATAGTTACTCTCTGACTAGCCTCTTTTGAAACTGTTATTTTTACTTTTTTTTCTGTTTAAAATTAAAAAACAAGAATAGTCACATCTTATACATGACACTTAAATTGTATATAAGATAGTTTATGAACAAATTTTACATTATGTTACATATAGTTATACATTAGAAATACATTAATTAGAGCTACATTAAAAACTTTAAATTTTCTTCTAAGACATTAAATGAAGATTAGAACCACTGAATTATGCTTTTTGTGTTTAAATTATAGTTTCTAAATAACTTAAATTTCAGAAAGTTTTGTGTGTATTATAATTACTTTATGAGTTATTATTCACATCTAATTTTTTTAACTCACCTATGAGAAACTGCTCCCCAAGCACCATGTTTGTTCGTTAGAATATTGAGGATCTTTTGTTTGAGTTGATTTGCTGTCACATGGTCCCGATGCTTAGCAGCACTAATAAGATGGTCACACATCTTTTCTTCCTCTCTTCTATCAGCAGCATATTGTGCACACTGAGACTGTAATGAAATATAAGCAATGTGTAATGTTGAACTTTTTTACTATGTATAATGAAGATATAAAATCTAAGTTAAAGTTTAAAAGTCAGATTATGTAGTATAAATAGACATATAATTACATTTGAAATTATTAAAATTATGTATTTGAATGCATATGTTAAATAGTTGTAAGTTAAAGTTATGACTGACTGTGATTTCTTCAAGTTCTGAAAATCTTACTGTTCAAAAATAATCGTTTTACAAATAGAAATGGTTTACTGAAAATGCATATCTATTTGTTATTTTAACTAGCATAATGTACTTCACTTAACGAAAGAGAAGGGCTCCTGAAAATCATATATAAAGAAAATAACCATTTAATTTACAGTTTTCCATTTTATTAGTGGCAATGTAGTACAGAAGAAAACAAAGGAATTTAATAGGGCTAGATTTTAATTCTACTTCACACACAATTTATTTTTCTCCCACTGTACTATTTCATATGCTATATGTAAAATGAGGAACTGAGACAAGGTTTTCTCTGTGCTCCCTTCTAACTCTAACACTGACTGTGTTCAAAGAGCCTCGTGACACTCTTACTCCTCTTTTCCATAATAATTAGTTACGTCTATATGTATGTTCACTGGTGTTAGCCACACAGCTAATCAATGGGTTTATTTGTGTATGAAAAAGATTCAACATGGACATTAGAAGGGACACCTCTTTAATCAGAATATTGATATTTGTATGTAGTCACTGTTATACAGACAGACATGACTGCAAGTTTTAACACTAGAAAATATTAATCATGTAACTAGGAATATATATCTGAGAAAATACATTTAACTATTTCCCATTTATCATGACTCTGTGAAAATGTCTTTCATGGAAAATATCTGAACATTCCTTCTGTCTCTGATACAGACTACTACTAGAAATCATCTCTTTTGGAAAAATAACCCTACCGTAATCTAAGAAGAATTAATTCATTTTCCAATTTATCTTTTTGTACAGGGAATCACCAATTAGTACAAGGATCTGCCTCAGTAATGAGGTTAATATTTCAGCAGCTCATTGGAGAGTAAAATTAAAATTTCATTTTTCTTTCTTAACAATTACAGTAGTTAACTAAAGAAACTTAAGTGTGAAATACCCATCTCAATTTAAACATACTTTTCTCCTAATTATAGTTCTATATGAAGGACAAAAAAATTCATCAAAAAGTCCTAGTAAGATGTCATAGTCTTTTATAACTTAAAAGTGATGTTTTTGGCAAACTATATATACACAAATCAGTGTATTTACTAATATCATTATAACCTATAAAGAACAAACACACATTTGTTTTTTTGGTTTTTTTTTTTTTTTTTTTTTTTTGGTTTGTTTTTTTCTTTTTCCTTTTTATTGGTACCAGGGATCGAACTCATGACTGCCTGCTTGCAAGGCAGGCGCTTATGCCGCTGAGCTAAATCCCCAGCCCCTCACACATTTGTTTTAAAAATGTCCACCAAATAAGAATGATAATGCTGTCAAATTTGGTTTTACATTAGCATTGTATGATATGTATATATGTAATCAAAAATATTAAATCTTTAGGTTCCATTCAAACCTTTTTATCACATTTGACCATGCAGTCATAATGGAGGAGTCCCCATGTCATGGTAAAAAGTGTTGTATGGGAAGGAGGTATGAAAAAAACTTAATTCTTTTAATGTATAATACACAGATGTATATACAGGTCACAGATACATAGCATGTAGATGGCATTAAAAATTCACTGCAGTTAGGGAGCGATTAGGAAAAAAATGTCTGAAAAAAATTCCTTGGGAGAACAAAATAAACAATGGTTGAAAAATTATTATCTGTAGCTTAAAGTCATATTGGTTAAATAGGTATTAATGCTTAATTAACATCTCATTGCTCAAAAATCTATTTTAAATGTTTCATATGATAAATACTGATCTGATTATATCCCCTTAGTGGAAATAGGACTGCCTCAAAATTGATCCTGCAGGGAATTTAATTAAGGTTCTAAATTGTATTCACTAACAGAAGTTGAGTATCAATTGCATGTTTTTATTTACTTGAATTCTCACATACTTTTATACATAAATGTGTTCTTCAAAGAGCAATTCAATTTTTTTCTTGTCATCCACATTATTACATAATACCTTGAGAAAAACTTCCATTTTTCATTGCCGAAGTGATATAGAAATTCACTTTGATAAACACTAGTCACTAAGGTTTCTGTGAAGTTTAAATTATCTGGATTTGTTTTCAAAATAAAGCTGTTAAAATTCCATAAGACAATTGTCTGCTATCTCATTTGACCAAATGAGTTAGAGATGCCTTGTAAGAAACTGAGGGCAAGCTTTCTGTGTCCTGCTTTGCAGCTGGCTAGGCCAGAGATTGCTAGACCTAGTACATCAACATCAGAGAGTTGCTTTGAGATAAAACAAAACAAAACATTCATTAAAATCTGAATTGTGGGCTCAGATTTCTAGCCATGCCACACTTGTTGGAGTACTGCATTTGCATAAATTGGTGGAATTATTTATTATTTTCAAGACTACTGTAAGTTGAAAACATGCTGAAATATGCTTTGCTTGGTAAACTGAATGAAAATTACTAATTAGATGCTATTTTTAAAACTTTAAATTAGTTGATTTATTGATTCCTACATGAGTTCATAAAGCCACATTATGTGTTCATGTCTACCTAGTAGTATGCAAACCTCTGCTGTCTTAGTAACTAAAGTAATTATATTATAAATCTTAATTGCATTTTAGAATGACTTTAGTCTACCAAGTGTTTGGGCATAATGCAGGAGAGATTTCTTCATTTTGGAAATGAGACACAAACAAAATAGTGCTCCCTTTGACACTAACTAAAGCCTTTGAGTATCTCAAATGCCCTCAGTGAAATTTTATGTTTAAAAACGCATTTCTTATATGAAGCTACATATGGATGATGTTTAACTTAAAACAGGAAAACTATTCAATTTACTTTACAAACCTTACCTCGAACTCTGCATGTTTATGTACATCCTCAGCTCTCTGTCTGTTCAAAATAAACTCAGCCTCATTTGCAACACGAACTATATGGTCCTTCATAGCATGGCACAGTAATCTAGAAAGAAAAATGCATTTGGAATCACTATTCTTCTTTGCTTGGGTCATTCTGACTTTTCTGAAATAATCAAGTTATACTGTTTCAAATATTATTTATTCATAATATTATACAAAGTTTATATAATTATATAGTGGATTATATATTTTAAAATATAATTTTGTAGAATTTGAAATAAAGAAACAGTCCATAAAACACACAGTAATATTTCTGTTAAGCAGTGTATTATGAGAACCAATGACAAATTTAATTAAAAAATATTATACAGATAATATATATATCAAGAAAAAACAAGGACTTTTGTTGGGGAGTTTAAAATGGCTAGTCAACACATTTTATTTAGAAATGAATTTTCACACATAAGTTTGATGATTGTATCTTAGGAAATCTATAGAATTATTTCCCACTTTACAGTATTATGAATGATGGAAATAAATGGCACCTAAAATTCCTTTAGCTGAGATTCAAAGTTCTAATATGGAACTACAGTGAAATGAAGTTGTAAAAAATGTAACTGGGAGCAAATTTAAATTATGCATTTTTTAAAGATTCAAATTGCTTGTAAAATGTGTAGTAAGATTTCCAGATCACCTCATTTCCAACAAATAAATAGCCATTATTGTTCATTTTATGTGTTCTCAGGGACTAAAAACATACAGCAAAGTATAGATATATTCATTACCTTCCACTCTAACACAAATATTGAAATATATAGTATTTGGAGAGCCTCAAAGAGAAGAAATGCTTAGCCCCTGTCAGCCTATTTTGTCTCCCATTTTTGTTCATAGTTGTCCAATTCCAAGGCAGGCAGGCATGGCAGGTCTGGCAAAGGAAAATGTTAGCCTTGGCAATCTTTTCATCTATATACACGGGGACTTATTCATTTTTCTTTTGTAATGTGTGTTATGGTTTAGATATGGAATGCCCTCAGAAAGCCTCATGCATTCATGTGCTAGGCTTCTCGAAGGTTTTTGGTTTACAGGGGCAGTAAAGCTGATTTGCTGTCCAGAGGCAGATCACAGGAGGCATGACCTGGAAGGGCATATCTCAATTTCTGTGTCCTTACTTGAGTGTCTCTGCTTCCTAGCTCCCATGACATGATGCATTTTCCTCTGCCAGACCCTTGGGCCATGTGTCCCTGCCTTGGAGTTGGTCAACTGTGGACTAAAAATGTGAGACAAAAGAGATCTCTTTTAAATTTTGGTGCTAGTATTGTGTCCCATTTTATTTCTAAAGATGTCCCCAACAGTTTTCCATCCAACTTGTTTTTGCAATGCTACTGTCATTGCCTCATCAAAAAGAGGAGACTTTTTCACCCATTTTGGAACTGGGTATTCCTTGTGACTTCCTGTGCCTGAACCAATACAGCAGAGGTGGTGCTTGACTCCAGAGGCTAGTGCATAACACGTCTTGCGGCTTTTAGCTTTCTCAGAATTCTCTGCCTTCTTCCTTGGTAAGAAAAGCACACACCACTTGGAGAGCCTCAAAGAGAAGAGGTGCTTATCCCCACTCAGCCCAAAGCCAGCCGTACAGGTAACTCAATGCGCAGGCTCTCCACAGACAGTAAAAAGAACTGATTAGCTGAACCCAGTTAAATATGATACAGTGAGACTATACTATGAATTCTAAATTTTAACTCTTCATGAAATTGTTAGTGTGTACTTTTTTAGATAGGCTTCAAAAGAAAGGACATTCAAGGCAGAGCATGCAATTCAGTGATTTCATAGAGCATGCTGAAGGCTGAAGAAAATCAGAAATCCAGTATGTGTAAATTAGTGCAGATTACAAAATTTAGGTAACAGGAGACAGCTGAACGGCTCATCATCTGGCTGCTTACTAGTTAACAACTGCAGGAACAAAGGAGTGTGTTGGCAAAGCAAAGTGATATGGTGGTGGGGGAGGGTTCTGCGTAACAAGACTTGTCTCAGACACACCAGAGAAAATAATTATCTGAAAGTCTGTCCCATCTCCAATATTTACTGGTCATATGTCAACTAATGTAGTTGTTTTATTTACCTCAAGGAAAAAGCATGCAGACTTCACTATCTACATTGAAGGCCGATTCAATAACAGCTCACTATTCCTTGACCTTGGTAATTCCAACGATCTCGCGTTTTAGCTTATTTCATAAAGTAATGACTGGACATAACTGGCTTCCCTCTAACCTTCAAGAGCTTATTCTCAGGTGACACCCTCCTATCCTTGATGTTCTCTCTCTTTTTCCCCTTCATTATTGTCAACCACATCCCAGGCAAAAATAAGCTCTCGGCTTACTATAACGTCCAGTCTTCAATTCTTCCATTTTTCTCAGAGGTTTTCATCTCACGCTCACATTTACTTCCTTTCCAATCTGGCTTGCAACTCCACACCTCATGTTTTAACCACGCTCCTGCCAAAATCTTCACTCAATTCCTGATCTAGACAGATTGGCTCTGAAAACACTTAACCAGTAAGACATAACTATCCTTCCTCAGTCCTAAATCTGAACTCTGAAAGAAACTTATAAAAACAAATTTCACTGGTGATGAAATATGTATTTCTTTTTCACAGGAAGTTTTTACTGAGGTTTCAAGAAGAACATGAATGTTTTTACTATCCTAACCTTATTCACCTTAAAAAATTGTGTGAAGTAATTTGAATACATGCAAATATAAATCAACATACCTATTAGCATTTAGTATTAATTTCCTTTTTCTCCTAACTTTGGTAAGCATTAATCTAGATTCTGTCATCATTTTTTCTATTCCGGATATTTATTTATTTGTTTATTTGGTACCAGAGATTGAACTCGTGACCTCAAGCTTGTCAGGCAGGCCGTTATGCCGCTGAGTGAAATCTCAAGCCATATTCTGGATATTTAATTAGAATCACATAATATGTAGCCTCTTGTGTCTGGTGTCAGTCATGTAGCATATTCTCCAGTTCATCCACGGTGTATTATATATTAGTATTTTATTCATTTTTATTGCCAGCATCGTATTATAGGCCTACATCACATTTATTTTCTTTCTTTCTTTTCTTTTCTATTTTTTCTTTGTTTATTAATCAGTTGATGTCTGTTTGGATTGTCTCCACCTATTACTGTGAATAACACTGTTATCAACTTTTGGGTGCAAGTTTTTGTGTGAACATGATTTCAATTCTTTTGAGGATATATCTGATAGTAGAACAGCTAGGTTATACAGTAACTGTATTTAACTTGATGAATAGCCAAATACTTTTCTACAGTGGCTAAATCATTTTACACATCTACCAAAACTGTGTGTGTAAGGAGTACAATTTCTACAAATCCTTGCCCACCCTTGTTTCTATTTTAACAAGTAGTATCATTCTAGTGAGTGTTGAAAGGCATGTCACTGTGGTTTCAATCTGTACTTTTCTAAGGATTCAATGAAGCTGAGTATCCTTCCACTGCCTACATGTACACCTTATTTGGGAAAAGAATGTCAAATCCTCCATAAATTTCAAATTATGCTATCCTTTTTTATTGATGAATTGTAAGAAGTCTGTATATATCCAGGATATTAGGCAAATCGAACACATGACGTACCAACATTTTCTCTTTTTCCACACTTGCCTTTCCAATTTCTTGGTAATCAATACCTTTTAACACGCCAACAGGCTGAATTTTGCTAACCATGAAAGTGTGTATTTTTCTTTGCTTGCGCTTTTGATGTCATGCCTAAGAAAACTAGTGCCTAATCTTAATTCATGAAAATTCTCAGCTATGTTTTATTCTAACACTTGTAGCTCTCACACTTAATTCATGTGTTCTGAATTAATTTTTCCATGTGATGTGAAGTCAAGATGCACATTTATTCTTTTTATGTGGGTACTCAGTTGCCCCAGCATTATGTGCTAAACAATCATCTTTCCCCCCATGGAATGCTTTAGCATTCTCAATGAAAATCAACAGACAATAAATGTATGGGCTTATTTCTGAGCTCTCAATTTTATTAAACTGGTTTATAAATCCATCCTTATTCCAGTGCCACACTGTCTTGCTGACTGTGGCTTTGCATTAAATTTTGAAATTCAAAAGTGTCCTATAAATTTATTCTTAAAGACTTTTTGGCTATTCAGTGCCTCTGGCAATTCCACATTAAGAATAGTATTATTTTATACATTTTTGAAAAGAAGAAGAAGTTGAAGTTTTGATAGGGACTACACTGACTCTGTGATAAATTTGGAGAGTAGTGTCATTGCAAAATTCATTAAGCTTTGAGTCCAAGAACAGAGAAGTTCTTCCATTTATTTATAGCTTTTTAAATTTCTTTACAATATTTTGAAATTTTCAAGTGTTGAACTTCCTTGGCTAAATTTATAAAAAGCAACTCTAAAAAATTAATTGTAATAAAAATAAAACATGAAATTTGTTTTATCAATTTTAAGTATACAGTGAAGTAATATATACTCGCTTTGTTTTGCTAACACAATTATCATTCATTCACAGAACTTCTTTTGTCTTGAGAAACAAATTCCAATTATCAAAAAGCTATTACATCCTCCACCTCTGGCCTCCAGTAACCACTGTTTACTTGCTGTCTATGAATCCAAGTATACTAGGTAATCCTTACAGATGGAACCATGCACTATTTATCCTTTTCTGACTGGATTATTTCACTTAGCACAACGCCTTCAAATTTCACTTGTCTTGTATTAGTCTGTATCAGAATCTCATTCACTTTTAGAGCTCAATTATATTACATTGTACACATACACCACCACCAGTTTGTTTATCCACTCATGGTAATTTGGAACTTTGATTGCTTCAACTTTTTGACAGCTATAAATAATGAATTGATACTTCTTCTTTTTACACTGCCTTCATTAGAACCTCCAGAACCATTTTGTGTAGCAATGGTGAGTGGGCATTTTTGTCTTGCTCTTGATTTCAGAGAAAATTTTAGAGAAAATCAGTTTTTTTGTAATTTTGTGAGTGTGCGCGCACACATGTGACTTATCAGACTGTTTCCTTCTGTTCTGTAGAAAGTGAGTCT